GGGAATGGTTACGGGAATAACAATGGTTACTGTCTCACGGAGGGTTTAGAATGGTTACGGGAATGGTTACAGGAATAACAATGGTTACTGTCTCACAGAGGGTTTAGAAGGATACAAGAGAACATAGAAAGTACCTAGTATGACACTTGATGTATAATAAGGGCTCTTTTTCTGTACAGTGTCTAGAAAAGGATAATTTATTCTTGTATTTATTCTTGCACCACGCTAAGCTCTGGGATAGTCATATCTGAAGTTCTACGCCCATTTCTGAATATTAGAGTTTAAAAACTATGGGAATAATCTGGAATGTTTTCAAAAGGGAGTGTACAGGATGATGTGCAGTGGTCAATGTCTGGGAAGTTTAGGGCAAGTGCATGTTCTGGCAACCTAGAGCCAAATCAGGCCAACTGGCCAGCATTATTTTACCAGCACAATATTTTGAAAAAGTATAACTGTCTCTAAACCAGTCTAACACTTTCAGCTTCCATATAGGTATAATCACATTCCTCTTATTTTATATCTCAATCTTCAAATACTTAAAATGTTGAAACAGGAGAGACATTAAACTTATGCTCTGAAACTCAGGAGTGCAGAGATGAGAGTTTCAGGGAAGCAGAACTTCTATCAAGATAGAAAATATCTGACTTATAAAAATAAAAAAAGTCACAGTATATAATCTTAGACTATTTTGTCCTTTGTATCACCAAGGAGTTTAAAAGAAAGCGAATGACCACCTTCTAGAGATGCTACAAAATGAAATCCCTGTCTCATGGGTGGGGCGCTGCAATAAATCGTCTCTAAAGGGGCATTCAACTCAAGAGTTTATGATTTCGTGGTAAGTAGACACCATTACAATGAAAAAAATACACAAAACCTACCCCAAACTGCTAATCTGATAAAGGGAGAAAAATGAAAAGAACTTTTAACACCTCAGTAGTGTTCTGAAGTATTTACAAAGCAGAAAATGAAGGCTAACTTTTTATGGCACGGACTTCCTAAAACACAACTTTCTATGTTTTTTATATCTCAAGATAAATCACAAATACTTTATTAACACAACTGGCAAAGTAAAGCCAAACATTCTTCACATTTTCATTCCTCCCTGAAGTCGGAGGCACTGCTTAGAGTAGCAGCACAAGATGTGCCACGGTAGGCCAATTTTACGTTATTATCAGAGGCCACCCGACTCTGTTTGCTTTTGCCTTTATTAACCAAATGAAAAGTGAGAAGGGTGAGAAATGAAGAAAGAAGAAAAACCAGGGATTCAATTAGGAACTTCAGAAAGAAAAGTATTGGATGTTTTTGTAATATCTATTGAAACATGAAAGGAAAACTACAGACAAAAGAAAAGAGAGAAAGTCTATTCAAAAAGAACCATGAGTACAGGATGATAATTAATTTCCAATACCATCAAAGAGAAATCTGAACCGTATGAAACACAGGAAACATGAAACCTACAACACAGACTGAATTGTCAGGGAATTGGATTTTTTTTTTTAAGTGAGCAGCTCCTTCACTATTACAGAGACCTGTTTTGCAGAACTCATGGATTCTAACCTGTGGCTGTTTCAAGATTGCTGAAGAAAAGAAAACTGATGGGGAGGCAGGAATAAGAGAGAGAGGGATAAAGCACTTACCCTTCCTTCTTTGCCGACGGCATCCATTTCTACTTCCCGGGCTCCCTCGATAAATTTCGTCAGCACCACTGGGTGCTCCTGTCACCAGGGAAAATGGAAGGACAGAACAATCAGGTAAAATTACACGTATGATGTCAAATAAATCACATCCCTTAAGTAAATATCAGGGCAATACTTGCAAAAAACTTCAAGGCTAAGCATACTACATAAACTCATTAGCCAATCTCTGTTGTAAGGACAAGTTTGTTCTCTGCTTGCAATGAGGCGGAGGGTCTTTGTCCAACTTTAAGTGCTCAGCAGACTGAACAGGAGTGTTGAAATGTCAGATATAGGCGGGTAGGCCATCTTGGGAAAAGAGGGCAATGAAAAGGAAGTACAAGGTGGCTTCCTCCTCTGCTACCAGAATCGTGAATATTTCTCCATTGTTTCTATGATTATACATTATTACTGGTTCAGATTCCGTCTTTCTTCTTACCCTCACCTTTTCCAAAAACTACAACTCCCTCAATCAGTTCTCTATAGGAGAATTGTGAAATATCTTAGAAGAAAAGCAGCATTTTGTTTGGAATTTGGGGCGAGGGATTTGGTTGTTTGTTTTTTGAGACAGTCTCATTCTGTCACCCTGGGTAGAGTGCCATGGATGGTGTCATAGCTCACAGCAATCTCGAATTCCTGGGCTCAAGTAACCCTCTTGATGCAACCTCCTGAGAACCTGGGACCACAGGCGCCCACCACAACCCTCGGGCTTGCTTTTCTATTTGTAGTACAGACAGGGTCTTACTTTTGCTCAGGCTGTTCTCTAACTCCTGAGCTCAGGTGATCCACCCACCTTGGCCTCCCAGAGTGCTAGGTTTATTTTGGTTTTATTGGGCAGAAGATAAAATCCATTATCTAAAATTAATTTGCCTTATACTACCTTCTAGAGTATTATGACATTTGCAATTGTATAATCATTTTTCTTCATTAATCTTCAGATGTCCTTCCTTTCTTGGCTGTTTGAGATCCCTTATCATTCTTTATTATTTTTTAATTTTATTTTTTTAGAAACACGGGCTTGTCCAGGCTGGAATACAGTGGTCCATCCATAGCTCACCATAACCTCACCCTTCTTGGTTCAACTGATCCTCCCATCCCAGTTTCCCAAGAAGCTAGAACACCCCCAATTTTTTAAAGTAAAGATAGGGATCTTGCTATGTTGTCCAGGACTGCTTGGAACTCCTGGTCAAGACAAAGCCTCCCAAAGTGTGGGGATTAGAGGCATGAGTCGCCTTGCCTGGCCACTCCTGAAGTGGGTTCCATGCAGGTGCTATCCAGGAATGAATACGTAAACAGATGAATGCTTTATGGGGGCTTCTTTTACTCTAAGTTCATTGAATTGAGTATCCCAGATTCTGCTGTAGTTTAATGAGGAGAAGTGATCCAGAAAGTATTCAGTCAGGACATCTATATTATTAACCTTTGTTCCCCATGGGTTCGGTCCTCATGCTACCAGAAAAAAACCACATATTTTTCAAAATATTCTTCTGAGTAGAAGTCCTATGAAATCTAGTGCTCCAGACAGAACAGAGAGGACAGTTGCATCATCCCTCATGTGAGACGAGTTGCTGGCTTCTCAACAGGGGAGCAGGGCAGGAGCCCTCGCTGGGAACAGGGCAGAGGAAAGGCCAGTGGTCTCTCCCTCCCGAGTGCACTCAAAAACTGGCCCAGTAGAAAGATTCCCTCCTCGGTTATCTGACATTCCCACAAACGTGAATGCAAAATACACTTGGTTTTCTTTTTTTACACTTTTTGCTGCTTCTCACTCTTTATCTACTCTATTCACCTCCCAGACATCCCTGGGCAGCAGCAATCATACAAAAGATGACCCAGCTTGCTGTGTGCAGGATGAGTCCACACGTCTTTGTTCCTCTTAGAGATTCCTCTGATTTTACTCATCAGCTCCCTCGAAATTCCACTTGCCTAACATCAAACTCTTCTCTACGAGTTGGTTTGTTTTTCTTTTTTTCTCCCACTAGCTTTGAAAGCTTTTAAAAGGAAAACATTACTTTTATGCTTTACACTACAAGGACCGCAGATCAATAACCCCACTGGGTAAATCTTAAATGGATCACACTGAGGTAACACCGAAGGAGAAAGTAAAAGCTGTGGGCAGTGGAGGAAGGTGGTTGAGTCACTACAAAAATCATAAACACTTTTATTAACTCACAAATGGAATATGCCAAATAAGCAAAGAAAAAATAGTTGAATAAGGGGACCTATTATTAAAGTGGCAGTTTTGACTAGGACAAATTTCCCAGGTGTGAAAATTAAAAATCAGGAAAGCATTCACTGGTTAACAGTGAGGCTGGCTGGGCGCATTTGAGGCTGGGAATCCCAGGAATAATCTGACCATTGTCTCACCCATAAGGAAAACAGGGGCGCTAATCCCTTCACTCCTAGAGTCTAAAATCATATAAGTCTATTTCAATTGAATATGCACAGGTCTTCCTCTTCTACGACTCCTAAGATTCTTATTATAATTTAACGCTTTTGAGTTTTCTTATTTTCATATGTAGGAGTCCAGTGGATAGAAGGAGGAAGGATGAAAGCTTATCCTAACATTGGATGAGAGAGAATGGGATACAAATCCTAACATTGGATGAGAGAGAATGGGATACAAAATAAGGTTGCAATCAACAAAAGAAGCGAAAGCCTTTCGGCAGACACTGGGCCCTACCTGAGAGACTCTCGTGGCCTCCTCTAGGAATTTTTTCATTTCATCCTCAGAGAATACCACGTTCATGGCAGACCCACTGGAAAAGAGGAAAAAATCAGGTTAGTGTCATGCTAGTGAGCTAGACTTGACTGATTCCCAAACAGTTCCAGGCAACCTCTAGTTCCAGACAAGGATGAATAAGGAGATGCCTTACTCTAAACTGAGGCTTTATTCCGTTTAATCAGAGGACAGTCGATGCAAGTATAAAATGACTGATGTTGAAGAGAAAGAGGGTGAGACGTGTGATAACGCCTGAAGGGGAACCCGGCCCCTCCAGCCACTGTATTTCTCCAAGGTTGGCCCTTTCTGATTTACTCTTTAACCTTCTCTTGATTCTTAAATCTTAACAGGATTCAGCCCCAAACCTAATTTCTTTAACCCTGTATCGACCGAGTTGATTAGCAACCGTTGATCTTAACCCAGAGGTGCATGGTGAAAGCAGGTTATTCTACTCGCTCAGCCAGATTACAAGCAAGAGAACCAATTTTTTAGTAATATTTGCACATTTAAAAGATAATATCCGAATGCAACTTTGTCAACTGTGCATTTCCTTATAACTATGCAGAAAATAATGGTATCTAAAATCAATTTTCTCTGAATTTTGACATTTTCAAAACGGAACGGGTGGAGGAAGAAAGGATGAGCAGAAAGAGCAAGGGGGGAGATAAAATGTCACTTCCCCTTCCCTTTTAACAAGCAGCGTTTCTTTACCCATTCTACTCTATTATAAATTTATCTTTTTATTTTTTAATGTATTTTTAATTAACAGATGATTATACGTATTTATGGGGTACAACGTGATGTTTTGATCTATGTATACATTACATAAAAATTTAATCAAGCAAATTAATGTATCCATCACCTCCCCAATTTTTCATTCAATCACAGATTTCTGCATAAAGAGCCTTTAATGGCTTTATGTGTTTAAGAGAGGAAGGCTAAAGCAATAACACTGATAATTCAGATGTAGGAAACTGGAACAAAGATCGTCATAGCAAAAATGAGAAAGAAATAGTCAAAGCTATTCTTCCCAACCCTTCCTTAAACGTGAGCTTGTCATTTCAATTAATATACGTTAATAGTAGGAGTACTATGAGACGGTGGTTTACACAAAATGTCATTTAAATGAAAAGGAAAGTTTTCCATCTCATTTGAAACTTTTCATTATTCTAAAGGATTCCCATCTCAAATTCCATTTACACTTTCAAATTGTGCACAGCAAATTGTGTTTCTCTTATTATCCCCTGTTCAGTGAAGTGGTTCCTTACATGTGGTAACATCTGAAGAAAATAAGTGATAATTCACAACATCTCCTTTATGATAGAACTTGGTTTCAAAGTTTAATACAAAAGATCCTCACTGTCCCTGTTCCTCATTACGATGCATCTATTAAAAAATAATCTGTTCTCAGAAACTCAAAATTGTAAAACAAAGGCTCTATCCAAAGGGGCTGGCAATAGTCAAAGATAAGCTGTTGTTTGGGGTGTCAGAAGACAGATACTGGAGAGCTCTATCCCAATTGTGTGTGTGAGTGAGTTCTTTAATGTTCTATATTGTAAAACCATCCTCCCTCGGTTTGGCAGGGCTAATGCTTCTAGATACAGAACCTAGTCTCTTCCTATTGCCAATCCCTAAAGAGAAGCTTTAAGCTGAGGGTCTGTTCATTGATCCTCAGACTGCTGGTGATGATTTAAGAATTGTCAATGGATTTCACAAGTTACTACATAGAAGCCTAATGCTAATAGCATACAGTGTGTATTTCTGTATCCCCACCCACCCCTATTTCCAAATCATTGTTTTGGAACACAATATACAGTATTACCTCAAAACATAGGAAGGTCTCAACAAGCAGGGGTAGCCCACAGATTTTGCAAATTCCAGTGCTTCATTCTAATTAATAGAACCAGAAATGATAAAAGTATGAATAGTTTAAAATACACAACAAAATTGCAGAATGACATCGTTAGATCCATAGTGTCCTACAATATTGCAACATTTTATTCTTTTTCTCAAAAGATACTACCAAAATGTATATTGGACATTGAAATACATATATATTCTTGATTTTGATTCTAAATACCAAATCTAGCTCAAAAATGGTTTGAACATCCTTTCATGGTCTGAATCTCAACGAGAATCCTGCTATTAATTTATAATCAGCCTTTAACTGTGATCATAGAAAAACAGCAACTTTAAAGTAAATTTGCTAAGTATGGTACATTCTGTCTGCCCTGTAGTTAACATCCCCAGTAGTTAACATTCAGGTTACAACTCTTCACACACACACAAAAAAAAGTTACAAGAGACACTTGTTTCTCTCCTTACCAAAGTATTAACAGCTTTCCACGGTGCCTGAGCCACCTTCAGCTCATCCAGGACTGCTGAGAAGATGGATCGATCCTCAGCCCTGTCAATCTGCAGAGGGCTCGTGCCCATGATCTTTACGCCATTCTTATACAGAGGGACGGCCAAGTTGTTTGGAATCTGGCCCCCAACAGATATGATGCAGCCGGCACACGCCTGGAAAAGAACTATATATTATCAGCCATGGTAGTACTTCCTTACCCATGGACAACCGTGCTAACATAGCCTTCACGCTCTTACTGACAGCGCTTAACCTGATTGTCACGGTCTCATCCCTATCAATGGATAATATTACATTATGCCATGAAGAAAGATACATCCTTGGTATTGACGTCCCAGGTACTTGAATGTCAAAATCCACGTGAAACTTCCACATGACCATCACTTGTGACATGAGTATGTGCGACAATTGGGAAAACAATTGATTTTCACCCTGTACTCCATCCTATAATGGATTAATTCCTGTACTACTGTTGTAGCTTCCTAAACTGGTACCAATATCTCCCTCCAGCACTCTCCTCTCCTGTTCCCCAGCACCTCACACACAGATTAAGCACCCCACAAGATTGCTTCATCACTTTAGCAGTGTACTGAGAGTTCGCCAATGGTTTTCATTGCCTACAGGATAAGGACACCCAGAACTTTCTAGTCTTATCTATCATCATCCTCTCAGCCTCAGGAGGACTACTCATTATCCTCCCCCAGCTAGACTCCCACCAGCAAACTCTCTGCTTGTCTGGCTGTTGCTTCTGTTCCTCTCTTCCCTGGTTTATTTGCCTCTACCGCCCTGAACTAAGTCTGTTCTAAATTCCATCTACCACTTCGGGGAGCTGATCCACCACTCTCTCTCCTGTGTGGCAACCTTGGCACCTGTCTGTACTACCCAGTCACTGATTTTAGTTCCTATTTCCTTACTGTTTCCTTTACAAGCTGTGCCTTAATTGCAATGTTTGGGTACTATATGATTTCCTTGCTTAAAACCAAATTTCCTATTAGCAGTCAAAACTGCAAGATAAAAAACAAATTAGCCTAGAAAATCCCAAAGGGAGGGTGAACCAGTGTGAGATGGAAGGGAACTGCCTTTGCAGTTTTAAGTCCCTTTCAAGCTTGGGTCTCTCTGTGTAACCTTCTTCTGCCCTCACCTAAATTCAGTTTTTTTCCCTACAAAATTAAAATAACACCTGCCTTCTTCACAAGGTTGCCAGTTAGATCAAATAAGATAATAAATATTAAAGGTCTTCTATGCTGGCTCAGCACCTGTGGCTCAAGTGGCTAAGGCACCAGCCACATACACCTAAGGTGGCAGGTTCGAATCCAGCCCAGGACCGCCAAACAACATTGATGGCTGCAACCAAAAATAGCCAGGCATTGTGGCGGGTGCCTGTGGTCCCAGCTACTTGGGAGGCTGAGGCAGGAGACTCACTTGAGCCCAGGAGTTGGAGGCTGCTGTGAGCTATGATGCCATGGCACTCTACCCAGGGGGACAGCTTGAGGCTCTGTCTCAAAAAAAAAAAAGAAGGTCTTCTATGCTGTCAGTGTATTTTTAAAAGACATGATTATTAATATCAAAAATATTATATTATCTGATAGGCCATCGAGTTTTACATAATTTGTGTTTGCCCTAATGACCCACTAATGACTATTAGTAGAATTGCTGAAATGATATGTATGTGCCAAGTATATTTTGTCATTACTTACAGTCATTCTGAAATGCTCTTATAAGTGATGAAGCTAATTTCTCTCTGATGAGAGAAATTATAGTACTTCCTAAACAAACACCCTGCAATTGGTTGCTTAAAGGCATTGTAAACAGTATTGAAATTAATAATCCACTACTTTGCATATTTATAAGTATACTTAAGCTACTTTTATCATCATTTCAAAATATATTCAATAGACATTTTTATAAAACCTTTAAAAAGAATCATTCTCTTTATCACTTTTTTATTATTTTTGGTTTATTAGCAGTGTTACTAATGTGTCTGAGGCTGAAAAAGAAATTCTTCAATTGAGTGTCTACAAAAAGTCTCATCTGAATTATTTCAATGTAATTTTTAAAAGTTAAAGAAGAAGTAGCCACTTATGAGAAAGAGTTGGTGCCAAATGGGACTCAATAGAACCTTAAAGTTGAAGTAAGAGGCCTTAATTAACAAACACATCAATATTTTTCAAAATGGCTCCATTCAATTGATTTATATTTTTCAAGAAATTAACAACTCTCAAAACAATAGTAAGATAATAGCTTTAATCTTTATTACTCTTTATTGAGGACTCTGCTGTATATCTTGGACTATTTGTTTCAATCTTTACAATATCCTTCTAAGGTGATTATTATTATTATTCTCATTTTACAGCAAAGGAAACTAAAACTCAATGCAGGTAAAGTGATATGCCCACACTGGTTATCCAGCAAATACATATATAGAGATTTTATGTGAACTCTGTTCTATGGATTGCAAACCAGTTACACTCAAGTCGTTTGCCAAATATTTGAATCTTAAGCTAAGTCTACTTTTCCGGCTGGTTTCAGAAGTGGTTAATGTTAGAGAAAAAAAAAGAAAAGCTATTTTTAGAACATTCTTTTGGAAAAGAGGTAGACCAAATTCTCATTGACCTCCAGAATCTGAGATCGCCACCAGTAAGACGTATCATGTCCACAGGAATGTTTTAGTACAACCAGGCTTTGCCCACACAGCAGAAGGAATTCAGTAAGACAATGTTTGTAGGATGAAGTTAATGGAGTTCCTTTTCATGGAAGAGTCCAGCTTAAAATTGGCCCCAACTCATAGGGACACCCTGACAGAACCTGGGATCCCTAACAGCTAAGTCATCATCATCAAGATAATCAATTATTCCTGACTTACTCAAAGTACTCTACTGAAATAAAATATTCTAAAGCTCAGATATTTTTTTCACAGACTTTTAAACTATTTAGGCTTGAAGTCATCAGTTAGGTTCCCAAGGTTCCATTGATCTTACCTAGACTTGTTTGTATCTTTTTTACCTATCTTAGTTTTCTATTTTTTTAAATTTATTTACTTTTTTTTTGCAGTTTTTGGCTGGGGCTGGGTTTGAACCCACCACCTCCAGCATTTGGGGCCAGCGCCCTACTCCTTTGAGCCACAGGCACCGCCCCAGTTTTCTATTTTTTTAACCTGATATCACTAGCTAACACACCACCAGAATATTACTGAAAAGATATTCAAGTTGCAATCACACAACAAATTTATTTTCAACAGTAAAAAATTATAAAGAAAACTTTAAATGTATGAGAATATCTTAGCTTCTCCTACCCACTAGTCACTTTGGTCAGCACTTGTTTTATGAATAAATTAAACATGGTATTATACACAAAATGCAACGTGAGAAAATTTATCTTACTGGCAGAAATAGTATTTGCCTCATTAAAAAGGGCTCTGATTTTTTCAAATTCATGGATTGTCTCCAGTTTCCAAAATTCCATTATCTATACATCTGCCAATGAGAATGATCGTGCTTTATATTTAAGTAATTTACAATTCAGTAAAAGATGGTTTACATTTTAGTGAGGATCACAGGATAATATTTAATTACAATTAAACTAAATGCTAGAAATGGACTCCATTTCTGTTTTGAGTCACGCATTCTTTAGTGGGTTTTGCTTGTCATTAATGGATGTCCGTCATTATTTTGTTCACTTAACTCAGATTTGTTACAGAAGTACCATTGTCTACACATAATATTCTATATTCTTCAACAGGGCGTTTGAAACTACTTCATGATATATAGTAACACTATACTTTAAATGCCAATTTGTTTTAAAGACAGGCCAACCTATTTCTTTGTATCATACTGACTTCAGTTACAGTAAAAGGGTCCTATTAATAGCCATGTGTAACTGTATATAAAAGCAGTCAAGGATATTTCTAATTTCCCCTCAAACCATTTCACAGGAAAATAATTATGTTTCAAATGCCTGCTGCTATTGCCTATAATGCCTTTTAATATTTTTTAAAATGAGCCTTTGATTTTTCACATATTTATATGATGGATCTCAGTGTAATTATTAATGTCTTGAAGGTAGGGGCCTGTTTTTAGAGGTATCATGCTGGATCTGCATTTACAAGGTGCTCAAAAAACGTGGAATGTATCTGTTTCAACACCCACTTATGTAAGTGAAAAGAATGTTAAGGAGTCATGAGAAAAACCATGTTAGAGAAAGAATAAAAAATGTGTACACTCTACCTAATGAAATTATTGAAAGGTTCATAGGCTAGGCTCAAATACACAGCTATGATCATACGTCCACCCTAAGTTTGTCCATTTTTCTTTATAATGGTAAAATCATCACAGGAGTGTACTATATTTTATACTTGACACTGTGACTTCAATTATAAATTCCATGTTAAAGTCATAGAAGCTGTGAGTAGCACGCTTCTACACTCATGTAATTAATTAACAAAAAAGATGACAGAGAATTTAAGTAACTTGCAAAGTCAATGACGCTTCAAGAAAAACCTAGAATTCAAAAATTGTGGCTTCAATTCAGTACCCTTTTTCCCTCTAAGTGACCATATTTTACACACAAGGATGATTTTCTGTGGCAGTTATCATCTGTGGTAAGGAATTAACTATAATGACATCAAAAACATAACTTCTGGACACCACTCTGAAATTTTCCAGCAGTTATTTTTGTAAGTGTAAGATGATTTAACTTGTTCTACAGACCTACAGGAACCTGTGATTGCATGAATGCTCAATGAAGACGCACTCAATAATGCTGGAGTGGGAATGGAGTGGCAACCGTGAGTGAAGGCAGCAAACAAACCAAATCACTCAAAAGTTCAAATGGACTCAGTGATGTTACACTGAAGACTAACAGCTTCATCTGGTGCAGCTAGAACTTAACTGGTCTTCTGGGAACAATTGACTCTCTACTGGGACCCGTTCACCATTAAACTGTATCACATGAACAAGAACGAGTCTGTTTATTGTATGACTAAATGACCAATTTTGCAAAATATTTATAAGGGGCCATCTTGTACTAGTAAACATGAGGTTGGCACTTGTTACCAAGCAGTTTTCAAAACTAAAGCTTTGGAAATAAAAAGTGAATGTTATATGAAAAATACTCATCCTCTGCCAGGACCTCAAATAAGTCTAAAGTGATTTATTTTTTTTTTAAGTTTCACCATAAAATTAGGCAATGGGAGACATTGGCAGCTCTTTCTCCTAAGGTGAATTACAATGCAAATCTACATTCATAAATACACATATATGAAGAAGACACTGCATATATCTTTTTTTTTTCTTTTCTTACCTCCTGATGGTAGATGTCTAGTATTCTCTCCAAAGACAACTCTTCAAAGTACAGTTTGTCACACTCGTCAAAGTCTGTGCTCACAGTCTCAGGGTTGCAATTCACCACCACTGTCTTCTTGCCAAGTTGACGCAGTGTGCGGATACTGGAGACAGCACACCAATCAAATTCCACACTGCTGCCTGCAGAGACGATGAGATGGAAAAAGGGATGAGACAAGCTTAAAGCTACAGGACAGAAGCATAAATATGTCACTAGTCAGTCCACATTAAGGAAGCGAATGCCTTCCAATTCAATTTTTAAAACTCCAAGATATAAATTTGAGACTCATGATGCATACTATTTTAATAGGAGGAAATCACAGACTAATTAAACAGCAACAAAATGTTGGCTTGTTTTATCTGCTATATTCTGCAATAGGTAATCTCCATATGTGAAGCATTCAGAACCTCAGTGTCAAGGGAAGGTAATTTTAATGATAAAAATAATCTTGACTTACTGAAAAGAAATTCAAAGTGAACATATTGACCTCTACACATAAAAATAGTTAATCCAGTAATCACAATACTTGAGTTTCAGTCCTTGCCCTTAATCTGGTGTCTAACAGCTAAACCCAGTGATCCCTGAAAGGGCTTGCAGCTCTGGCACACTATGATTTATTGAAAAGTCCTATCCTTTCCAAGTATATCCCTTCAATCTTGGCAAGGCCACCCCATACAGAGTAAGTGACCTTCTAGAAAGAAATCTGAAGTACTGTATAATCATGCTTCAGAATATCACCTCTATGGGGAAACCGTGGAACTGGAAGTCCTGTACCTTGTACTAATTTTTTTGCATTAGAACATTGTCTCCAAAAATTTCTCGTCAAAATATATTATCCAAACATAGTACCATGTTAATTCTCACTGTCAAGTAAACGTACACTTGATTATCAGCCCAGCTAGGCTTCTCTGAATCACAGTGTAATGCAAAATTTTTGGCATAAATTAGGTAAAATTTGGAAAAGGATGGGAAAATGATCCAGGGAGAAGACCAGATCCTGGAAAAGGTATTGAGGATATTTACCCTCAGATAACTGCTATCGTCTAAGTGTACCCCCCCAAATTCACGTGTTAGGAACCTAATCCTCAGTGAGAGCAACAGTGCTAGGAGGTGGGGCCTTTAGGAGCTGTTTAATCATGGATGGATTAATGCCATTGTAACAGTGCTTAATGGAGAAAGTCTGCTCCCTTTTTGCCCTCTACCTTCTGCCGTGTGAGAACATAGCATTCCTTCCCTCTGGAGGACACAGAGTTTCAGGTGCCTTCTCAGAAGCAGAAACCTAACTCTCAGCAGATAACTGAGCCTCCCAGCCATTTGACCTTGGACTTCCCTGCCCCTAGGACTGTGAGAAATAAACTTCTATTCCTTATAAATTACCCCATCTCAGGAATTTTGTAATAGCAACACAAAGGGACTAACGCAATAACTAAGGCTGTACAAATTGATAAAGTCACATATTCTGAAGCACTTAGTTAACTGTAAAAACTAAAATAAACTATGCTTACAGTAACAGAATAAGACTACAAACATTCAAATCATATATTTTAACATTTCCACATTAAATTGCCTTGATGAGACTATATATTAAACACACTTGATGGCTAAGGTCACACTGTCCATTTAATAAATACTTTGCAACTGTTATAGATCCTGAGTGGCTATTAAATATCTAATTTTAATTAAGTAGGGCAAAAATGTCCCAATCTCTGGTATGTTTATATTATATTCAATAAAATGCTCTACCCATGAACCAATAAGATAAGATCTTTGCATTTGATGTAAACAAGAGTAATAAGTTAGATCACAGATTGTATCTGCGAGGAAATTTCTGGCTAATGTATAAATTTCTTGAGCAAATGGAGGTCTTCATGAAAAGCTACGTAAAAAGAGAAAAAGTCACAGTCAATTCTGTTCTTTGAACCCAATGAGAGATTCAATTTAGTTGATGAGGTTGAAAATGATAAAGGAGTGACATGATGAAATGATAGGAGATGAAATTTGTAGCTGAGACCTCCCTCTGAATATCACTTTACCACCAAAGAGTTGTATATGTTTAGGTTTTATCTTTTTTTTTTAGAGACAGAGTGTCACTTTATCACGCACTCGGTAGAGTGCTGCAGCATCACAGCTCACAGCAACCTCCAACTCCTGGGCTTAAGTGATTCTCTTGCCTCCCAAATACCTGGGACTACAGGCGCCCACCAGAAGGCCCGGCTATTTTTGTTGTTGTTGTTGCAGTTTGGCTGGGGCCGAGTTTGATTCCACCACCCTTGGTATATGGGGCTGCCACCCTACCCACTGAGCCACAGGCACCACCCTATGGGTTTTATCTTTTTGAACCATAGTTTCCTAATTTGCAAAACTTCAATTCTAATAGCATTTGGCATAGTTCTTGGAATAATGGAATTAACATTTGTGAAGAGTTCTATTTAAATCATAAAAGTCCTATGTAAACATAAGTTTTCACTTTACCAATGTGATATGGGCCACAGCCCAGCACCATCATTCCGTGGTCATCAAAATTGATATCATGCTCCTGAGGGGGAAAAATGGGGAAATGGTTTTGTGTTATTATTCCATTTAATTAAACTATTTTCCCATCTTTAAGCGTGTCTTTTTTATTATTCCTCTAGTTTATTTGCATCCTCTATTAGTCTCTGGGAACCCATAAGTATAAAGAGTTATACAAGATCTATCAACCTTTAAAACATGGATGTAGCTCAGTATTTTTGAATTAGTCATGAAACAGAGCATAATCCTATGCTCATGTAATCATTGTCTTTATCATCTTCTCTCGTGTTTACTTTAATTATCTTAAGGCAGTTCTTAAAAGACTAAGTATAGAAACACACCACTGCATCTGACTCCCACAATGCCATTTTTATTACTTTGATAAGCAAAGATGCAAAAAATATATATTCCCTAACATGGACCATATAGTAAGTCAAGATCCATCCGGGTATGGCAGCTTGGCAATTCTTACCTGACCATTGTAGGTAACATAGAGGTAGTTTGTTACTGAGGGGTATTCTGCAGCCAGTGTGTCAATCTGCAAGAGAAAATAAATTAAAAAATAAGCAAATAAATAAGGATTTTATTTCTTTCTTTATTAAATGTTTTTTCAAAACTGTAGGTTTTCTTGTGCTCCATTGATATGCCTTTAATGTCTATTTCTGTCAAGTACAAACACTGGAAAAGACATATACACTCTATTTGCTTTCTAATCCTGAAAATAAGAGAAGGAAAACCAACAGTGATGTGATCTAGTTATCAGTTGGCCAATACACAGCCACATACAACCTAGAACACCATTGGATCACTCCAGTAGTCCCTCTCATCAACATGACAAAGTGGTCCTATAGTCAATGGTGACCGGGAAGACTTACCCAGCTAGCTGGCTAAAAAAGCTGTGTGGAAAAACCAAAATCAGAGCAAAATGACCTACATGTAAGGATGTCGTTGGTTTGCAAATTAATGCAGAAGGTTGAAGTTACCTGTGGCACCGAGCAATGAAATGACACAAATACCATAAAGCATGGTGGGAAGGGGGGTGGAGAGCAGAGAACAGGATCTCACTGAACCCGTTTGGAAATCAATTCAACTCTCTAGGGCCAGTAGCTCAGCTTAGTGAGCAGGAATCTGGGGCCGGCAGGGCAAGCTGGTGTAAGGCAGGTGAGAAAGGAGAAGGATAATAACTGCTGAGTGGAAAATATTTAGCATCGAACTTGAGACCTAAAGGTATGCATGGGCCCCCTGAGCACAGGAGAAAAGTCAATGATTTTAAAGGACAAAAAGCAGCTGGTGGTGCTTTAAGCCAAGACATCCTTTCCATTAAAGGCCAAGGGAAAAAAACTATATAGAAACACAAGGCACACCTATGAATGTTCATGTAATTGTCATGAATACTAGATGAGCTCATTATGCCCAGCCCTATCACAATGAATACTAAATGAACCACAATGATGGGGCACTTAAAATAAAGTATTACCCTGTAAAAAGTTAGTGCCATCAGAGATAACTATTCTTTTCAAGAGGGTCAGCCACCATGCTAGAATATTTCAAGCCCTTCTATTACACTAAGGATTTCTCTTATTACACATATACTTGGACACAGGTCAAAAAGCAGAAGAAAGGTCATTTTGATCTTTTTTTTCATTTAGGCCGAGAAAATCAAACACACGCTTTCATCGTCGCATCTGGGTATCCCTTCAAACTCCCCCTTTTAAGCATAAATCAATCCTGGGCTGAATAAAATTGTTGACATCCTGGGCATTGATTGGACACACAGTCACTCTAATCTCACCTCTCCTTGCTGAATGGCTTTTTGAGTTGGTGCCTACATGTTACCACAGAAACTCAGGAGAAAAAATGGGAAATTCCTTTACCTGTTTCACCCAAGGGTGGATGTTTTTCTTTAATCTTAGCTCCCTGGTCTGGGCTTCAGTGAGCCCTAGGCATTTTGAAATCTGCTTGTCTGAGAACCCGATCTCCTTTGCCCTTTTGAGGGTTTCTTCTGGAATGGACTCACTGGAATTTAACAGAAAAAGACAGATTCATGTTGAGATCAAACAATAAAGACCAATGCCACAATTCCCCCTTAAAGTAACCAAAGGCACCTGATTGTCCACCTTCGAACATGTCTAGGGCCCTTATCTTTTAAAAATACACAAATAAATAACACACTACACCAGCCTCTGAGAAGTCTTTTGCATTTGCAAAGCTGACCTTCTCTGTGATCTCCTACTATGACACCCTCAGAACCCTCTCCCCTGCTTATTTCTTTTTTAAAAAAATTGGCACCTGCATTTACCATGCTAATAAGTTCACTTGTTCACTTGTAATAATCAGGGACCTCCTTCTCTAAATCCAGCAGCCTTTTCTCCATATCCATTTTCTTCAACCTGTCATCTCATGACCATTTGGGGGTTCCATTCTTTAAAGATACCTCCCCTGGCTTCTATTAAAGTTGCTACTCACCCTACTTTATTACACACAACAACTACTTAGTAGCTTTTTTTCTCCCCAAGGCTCTACCTCTCTTATCTCCCTAAGTCTGACTACCTTCTCTCGATGTAGAGAGAAGCCACTGTCCTAGGCTCCAATAAGCATGTCTAGTTGATGATTTTCAAACCCAGGCCTCTTCCCCGATGCTGTGATCCAGGTCTTATGCACAGGCACTTTGAAAATCTTCTTCACCTGAGGGTCCAAGCATACGTGGGACTGGATACCCTCCCGAGAGAGATGTCCTTTATGAACCGATATCACACATCTATGTTGAGAAGATAATCTTGTGGTTTTATAATTATTTCCACTCAAGCTAGATTTGTCTCATTTTCCCATGCTTATTTCCATAATGTAGACTTGTTCACGTGGATTCTCTCACCTTTGGCATTCCTTTAACCTTTCCAATTTCTCCCCGAGCCCCCAGCAAGCCTTTAAAGTTCAGCTAATGTCCAGCCTCTGAGTTTGCTGTCCCTGCACTGATCTCCCCATGCTTTTAACTGCCCTTTTCATTAGATGAACATGAGCCACGAACATAGTCAGAATACAATTTTGCATGCAGTAATCACCTAACATCTTTAATGTCTCTTAACTTTTATTCATTGATCAATCTCTTTCCTGCTACATTTAAATTCCATGAGGGCAAAAAATACATCTAGTTCATTTGCCAGATTACTCGTGATGCCTGGCACATTATCTGGCCCATAATAACATTCAATAAATATTTATGAATATACATAAGTGAAGGCCAAATACAAATGATGTGATTTATATATTCATATAAATGATTATAAATATAAATTGTGAATATAAATAAATGAAGAAATATAAATGAAAGAAACAACTCTCTAGTATTTTCATTTTACAGAAAAGACAAAAGTGATTGAAATCAGCTCATAACTAGACTTCAAACTGCACACAAAAATAATTTACATAGAGTTAAGGGACCGAAGAATCAAATACTACTGTAAAAGCATCACTAACCAAATACCTGTGGGCCAGTTATTTCAAGCCATAGTCAATAAAATAAAATTCAATTATAACAATTTGATACTTAATACAATGAGATTAAAATATAACAGCATGTTGCCTGAATATCCAACTTGCCTTAAATAAAAACATTTTCATGAATGCAGCTAGTGAAATGTAGCTATATCAAATCTATTGCATTTTATTCATTCTAATCTTTAATCTTCCTTTTTTAATTAACTCATATTTGAATTTAGGGAAGAGTGGGTTAAGCTGATATATATAATGGCTATTTCTCTGGCTGTCTGATACCAGTATGAGTTTGGATATTCATGGCTGCCGCTCTTCCTAGCCTTTCTGCTTTATCTGTTGCACCTAAATTCTCTTCTGTCTCAAATCAGTGCATCCATTCTCCCAATGAATAGAATTCCTTCTCCTTTTATTCCAATGCTGAATTTTAATTTTCCCAAGCATTTGATAAGCCTTCCCTCAAGGTAATACATTTTCCTGTCAAATTCTTGAATATAACCTGATAACAAATGCTATTACTGACCGAATGTGTGTGCCAAGCCCTGTGCTTATATGCCCTAGAACTGTGCTGTCCAATATGGAAGCTCCTTGGTTAGCACATGTGGTTATTTAAATTTGAAAGTTATTGAATTCAAATTTTTAAAAACTAAAAAGTTAGATCTATAATCACCCTAGCCACATTTTGAGTGCTCCCTAGCCACTCGTGGCCAGTGGCTACTACGTTGGACAATGAAAATTATAGAATATTTCATCATCACAGAAATGTCTTTTTTATGTATTTTTTTTTATTTTGAGACAGAGTCACCCTCTGTCACCCTAGGTAGAGTGCCATGGCATCATCATAACTCACAGCAACCTTAAGCCAGTGGGCTCAAACAATCCTCTTTCCTCAGCCTCCAAAGTAGCTGGTACTACAAGTGTCTGTCACAAATGCCCAGCTAGTTTTTCTATTTTAAGCAGAGACAGGGTCTTGCTCATGCTCAGGCTGGTCTGTAACTCCTGAGCTAAGGTAATCCACATGCCTCAGTCTCCCAGAGAGCTAGGATTACAGGCGTGAGCTACTATACACGGTCCAACACAGAAATTTCTCAAGGACAATTCTGCTTGAGAAGATACAAAACAATATTTGAGACAGCGAGGTGATTACAAAGTGATTCAGAACTTTTATGGAGGGATAAGCAACGTGAGGTCAGAGAAGGATAACAGTATGAGAGGCTGTATTTGAGAAATATAGGACAGTAGAGGGACAAAAACATACTCTTCTAGTAAAGCATCTCAGGAATGGGAAGAAAATATCCCATGTACTCAGTACTATTATGAAACCTATTTATAACCATTCATACTTTCATATGAAAGGTGAAGCACAACTATAGCCCAGGATGAAGGAGGGAAGGGAAGGAGGATGCAAGGGGAGGGGGGTGGTTTGATCGAGGGAGGATAAATGGTGGGACCACACTTATGGAGCGTATTGCAAGGGTACAAGTCAAATCTCTCAAGTATAGATCACAAATGTCTTAACACATAGATTAAGTAAATGGGTGAAAGCTATGTTAAAAATAAATAAACAAAAAATAAAATAATAAAAAAAAAGAAAATTCTACTCTATATAGACGAAGGAACTAGTAGACTATAGGCAAGGGCAACTGCATTTGCAATAATTTGAGAGCAACAGTGGACATGGCGGGTGTAGGGCACGTGCTAAGGATCTGTATTATAGTTGGAAAGAGAGAGCAGGGAACGGGATGCTGGGGGTAGAGCAATCTTCACCGTCATTCTCACCAGTGCTTTAACACTTGAACACGTGCTCTATGTCAAGCCTGCGCTACTAATATTAATAATGGGAAGATAAAAAAAACATCAAATTACTACATCCAAGGAGGTCAGAGTATATTCGGGGGCACACAAATAGCCATTAATGTGTCTGTATCCTGAGAGGGACTAAGAGAGAAATGTATGGAGATGAGGGCGTGGCTCAGAGGAGGGGGTGGGCGAGTAGGAGCCTCTGAGGGCCTTTGAAAAACACCGGCTTATGATTACATTTAATTTTGCTCCTTCCCTCAAAAATCAAGAAAAAAGTAGACGAGGAAGAACTTTTGGTTGTTGCTACTATTTGTTTTAGAAACATACATTTCCACTTTCCCGGCCTAGGATACATTCCTAAACTAATTGTTCACTTGTTTATGTGCAAATATGCATTTAGCCTCAAAGTGCAAGTGCTTGACAAATAAGCTTTTCTAAATTGCAACAGTAACCACTTGAACGTAAATGACCAAAATCCTAACCCTGAAAACGGTGGGCCAGACACAGGGAAGAAACATGCTTAGAAAAGAACCATCACATCTGTAACTAATACCACGGACATAGCATCACAAATGCAAGTTCTTTAAGTCCAAAGATAAGCAGAAGTCAGTATTTATCTTTAGTTTTTTTGGTTATGTTTTTCTATTTATTAGTAAGGGCTTTCCTGGTATTTATTTATTTTTATTCCTTCTTATATCAGTTAATTCTTCAAAGGTTGCTACATTGTTTTAAATGAAAATTAAAAATAATGTTATTAAATGAACAAAAATAAACCGTTTAGATTCCTCACATTTCTATTAAGGATACAATAAATGTGCATTTTTATATACATTCTGCCGTCTTTTCTACTACTGAAAGATGCATAATTTCTCTTATTCTTTTTTACCACAGAGTCCAATAGAATAGGCATCTCTAGCTAATATACCTCTGCCTCTACTCACCAAATACAATTAGAATCTTATAAGCAAAGAAAGAAAAGAAAAGCAAAAAAAGGCTGAGTGATGGACTTGGACTTGTGCATAAAAATAGATTAATTTTGTGCACAGCTTTAGCAGGGAAGAAAAGCTATTTGTCACTAAGACTATCTAGATTGTTAATGACCCCCCAGTGTCCCCCACCTCAGAGAGGTTTGATTATTTTAAGGGGATATCTGACAAGAGCGAGAATAATACAAAATGATGGTGAATGATACAGAATGGGGGTGAAAACTATTTCTACATAGACACGCTCTCAAATCACATCAGGTGAAAATTCTGAAAGAGATGTATCAAGCTAGACATGAACAGCACATATCTTAAGCTCAGTAACTTATTATTAAAACAGTTTCCTGATGAGCCCAAAATGGCTTAACTTTTGCCCAATTTTCAAATAACTAGATCAATAACACATGATATTTTTAAATGCCTTGAAAATTAGAGAGCGTTAAATTAGAATAGCATAATAACATAATCACGGACCTTAACTTTAACACGAATATTGGGTAGATGGGATCCTAGTCTTTTCAAAGTGATGTATTTGGATTCTATTTCATTCGTGGTCATTCTGGTTATAAATTTCTACATTTTAGACATGTTCAAGATATCGCACAAAACATTTAGCAATCCTCTTCACGGAAAGATAGATGTTGATTCTGACCCACAAGGCCAATTACAAAGGCACGGACGAGTTCGCTCCCTCCCACATTCAGCACCACCCAATTCTGCAGGGAACTCTATTGCCAAGGTAGA